GGAATACGGTGACCTCGCTCCTCCCAAGTATGGACCTGCTGCTCTAGCCATCCCATATATATAACATCCACCCTGGCACGGTCGTCCCGCTGATAGTGTGTAGCCTCCCATCCAAGCTCCCCCGGTATAGGCTGGGGACGGTGAAACTGGCGAAGCACACGCTCTGTGGCATGATACTCAACCATATCGAAGAAGATCATCGGGACGGAGGTGCTCCAAAGCAGTCTGTCGACTGAGCAAATATCGGGGAGCTGAGCTAGCAACTCGTCGCTGTATGGCGTCCAGATGAACTACCAAATAATAACATAAAAGTGAGTATGCGCAACACAACTCAATTACTAATTCGCAAGTGTAGGTACATATTTACCTGTCCGTTCACCAGCATATCTAACACATCCTTGACAAGGGGGAGATTATGATGAGCATCGCTCCGTTGGTAGTTCCCACGCCGGAGAATCCACCTAGAAGCTAGAGGGAGAAACGGATAAGCCTCACCGGGCGCAAGTGGTGGTAGAGGTGGCTGCAACGGCATGATCCGCTGCCAGGCCCAAACCTAAGATAAAAGGTTGATGTAAAATTTATGAGTCGTTTCGACCATATAGATTTCAGAGTAATGAACAGAGTATTCGAAAATGTTGTCACCTGTAGGAGGGGCAGAAAACCACATATGTCCACCGCTGGGCCCATGCTCGCCCGGCACATGCTCCTATACAGGTATGCGAGAACAGCAGCACCCCAGCTGTACTGAGGTAAATCATCTAGCCGCTGAAGATAATGGAGATAGCGCATACTCACAGTACTCCCCGAAGTGTTCGTGAACAAGACACACCCGAAAAGCATTAGCAGCGCCAACCGCGTGTACCTCTCAATGTGGAGATCCTCCGTCTCGCCGGTAATGTCAGGGTGCAAAACAGCCATATGATCTCTAATGGCTGACAAAAGAACGCGACTGCCCCCAGCGCTACCTTGAGGTCTATAACCAGTAAACTGCTCCATCATATCCAAAAACTGGGCACGCGTCATGGATCTAATGTACTGGGGCAGTGCCACGGCCCGTCCATCTACGCGTAGCCCGTATAAAACCTGAACATCCTCCAGCGTGATGGTGGCCTCTCCAGTGGGCAAGTGAAAAGTGTGCGTCTCCGGTCGCCACCGCTCTACCAACGCCGTGATAAGAGACCAATCAAGCTGCATCCGTCCAAGCTCAAAAATAGTATAGAAGCCCGTAGCCTGTAAGCGCGCGACTACGCGGGCATGGAAAGGATGCTCCATGATGAACTCCCACAAATCATCAGGTCTCCTGGGGCGGAGAGCCTGCTCCGATAGCTGTCCCTCCCATACATAGGAGGACCTATGGTCGCCCTGCAACACTAACAGCTGATCCTCGGCAGGTCCAGGATGCGCAGGCGGAGGAAAGGCCATGTCGTCTACTATAATTTAAACAAAATTAATTGTGTGTGTTAGTTTAATAAATTAAATAATTATTTTTAATATTGGACTGAGTAATTATCTATGGGTTCGAGGCTCGATATTTGAGGCCCGGTAGCACCAAGCTATCCTTCATTATTATGTCTGTCATTTTCAACATTTTTTAGAAATTTGTTTGTTTAATAAATTAAATTAAAAATTCTTCAATTGGACTTAATAATTATGTATGCCCTTCCAGGCTCGATATTTGAGGCCCGGTAGCACCAAGCTATATTTAATTATTATGTGTGTCATTTTCAACATTTTTTAGAAATTTGTTAGTTTAATAAATTAAATTAAAAATTCTTGAATTGGACTTAATAATTATGTATGGCCTTCCAGGCTCGATATTTGAGGCCCGGTAGCACCAAGCTATACTTAATTATTATGTGTGTCATTTTCAATATTTTTTAGAAATTTGTTAGTTTAATTATTTAAATTAAAAATTCTTGAATTGGACTTAATAATTATGAATGGCTTCCAGGCTCGATATTTGAGGCCCGGTAGCACCAAGCTATACTTAATTATTATGTGTGTCATTTCAAAATATTTTAGAAATGTATTTGTTTAATAAATTAAATTAAAAATTCTTGAATTGGACTTAATAATTATGTATGGCCTTCCAAGCTCGATATTTGAGGCCCGGTCGCACCAAGTTATCCTTAATTATTATGCGTGTGAATTTCAGTTACCGATGGAATTTTGTTAGATTAAAGAATTAAATTAAAAATTATTGAATTGGACTGAATAATTATGCATGGGTTCCCAAGCTCGATAATTGACCCCCAGTAGCACCAACTTATCCTTAATTATTATGCGTGTCAATTTCAGCATTTTTACAATTTTGTTAATTTAATAAATTAAATAATTAATTATTGAATTGGACTGAGTAATTATCTATGAGTTCCGGGCTCGATATTTGAGTTATTTGACAACATATATTAATTTGTTACTTTTGTAAGTTTATTTTATAAATTAAATAATTAATTTTGTAAAGTGTAATTGGATAGAGTTTGCAGTTACTACATACTTAAGGTTTTATATTTTACTAAGCTAAAAGGCTCTATATTTTACTAAGCTATAAGGCTCTATATTTTACTACGCTACAAGGCTCTATATTTTACTACACTAAAAGGCTCTTTATCTTACTACGCTAAAAGGTCACTATTACATATAAAAACAACAAACATAACATACAAATATGAACAACAAACTAAATAAATAATATTTATTTATTATTTAACCAAATAAAAACATAACATTAACAATACAAATTATTTATCAAATTTTAATATTTTTTGTCCCAAAGCTAATAAATCAATCGGGTATAAATAAGATACAAACTTAAATACAAACATAACACAAATTAACATGGAAACACATTAAACAATACAAATATGCATGTACAATACGAGTGTCGACATAAACAAAATCGAAATACCTCGAAATTAAGTTTTTTGAATTTGATTGAAATCGATATTTTGCACCCGAAAGAAGGAATCCAAAGCTTGTCTTGTGTGTGGGACCTATACTCTTTGTTTTTTAGAAGACGGGTGGGGCCCAAAAATTTTTTTTTCTAATTTGACGGGGGAGGGGGGGGGGCCAGCAGAGAAACAAGTTTGTTTTTTAATGGGGGGCAGGGAATTGTGTTGGGGAAGAAGAAGAAGGGTTTATTTTATTAAGGGCAATTCGCAGTACTATACTGCGAATTGCTTATACGCAGTATAGTACTGCGAATTGCTGGGCCCAAAAATCGGAGTGTCTCAATTCGCAGTACTCTACTGCGCATTAGTTAAAAAAAAACTTTTTACTAATTCGCGGTACTCTACTGCGAATTACTTTAACGGCAAAATTTCCGTTAAGGTAATTCGCAGTATAGTACTGCGAATTACCAATGTTAAGCCAAGCAGCGATGAGGTGTTGAGGACGTCGACAACGGTTGCCTGATCTTGGAACATTCGTTTCATTTTGGTACATTCCAAATTCAATGAATTCGGCGTCATACCAAAAGGAAAGAGGTGTCCTTAGGTCGAATGTATTTTAATATAGAGGGCTAAGTGAGTTTGTGGTAGTTAAAGGTTGTGGTGGTGGTGAGTGGTACGATAGCAGGGTGGTCGCCAGAATTCGACCAGATTATGGTCGCCAGATTTGGTATGGAAATTAATGAAAAGTGATAGATCGTGAAAATATCTACAAGTTCATGTATATATTGTGGGGGTAAAGGCGATTCAACCTTGATGAATTTCAAATAGAAGATGAGGCTAGAGTTTCAAATTTGGGTAGATTTGTGGAGATTGGTGGAGATCTGGAGGATTTTGAGGGTAGATTTGAAGANATTCGCAGTATAGTACTGCGAATTAGGTATTTAGGTAACTTTTTTTAGTAGTAAAAACGTGTTTTTTGTCCAAAAAAATATTAGAAAAGTTTCGGACTCGTTTATGTGAACCTATTTTCTTTTTAGTCCGTTCCAAAAAGAATGACCCCTTTCTAAATTTGGTAACAATTTAACTTAAACTTACAATTCTACCCTTAATGAGAAGCTTTTATAACCACACAAATACTCTGGGGCCCTTTTTGACTTGTTAAGGACCACAAATTCAAAAAGTCTTCATTTTTTCTTAAACTCTGTGCCCAGTCAGACAGGTTCACATAAATTGTAACGGATGGAGTACTAATTACTAGCTAGGTACATGTTTCCTGTTTTGAACGTCATGTCCTCCCAGTGGCGGACCTACGTGGGGAGGTGAGGGGTCACCGGAACCCGTTAACCTCGGCAAAAATACAGTGTGTGTATATATATATATATATATATATATATATATATATATATATATATATCCCTTAAATATTTTACGTGTGCCCCCTAAACACAAAAGCTGGGCAGAAGAGCTGGTTTAAGAAAGCTCTCAAAGTGCTTTCACTTCTTTGATGTCCCAAGTTCGAATTGTACTTTTACTTTTTATGAATTCAATAATTGTTGAATTACTTAGTAATATTTTATGAATTGGCCAATTTTTGTAATGAGCTACTTATAAATGGATATAGCTGGTAGTTTCCCTTATAATAGCAAGAAGTACCCCGCTTCGTGTATCTACTAAAATTTTGTAACAAGTCCGTAAAAAGGCTGAGACATAAAATACAAAGAGGGGTAGCTAGACTGAGTAGAGGTTCGAATCTATCTCTTTGAAAGGATTGAACACCGTGAAGTCCACCCTTTTAGCCTAGAGGAAAATTTTAATTTGTGATGAATTAACAAATGGCGGGAATGAGCGGAAAAACTATAGAAGTGATAGCTATGGCTAAGAACAGTCGTCGTCCCGATTATATACCCGGACTGAAAGTAATTAAGAAAATAGAAAGATCGAAGCTTTGTTACTCGAATATCTTCTTTAATTGAGTAACATGATGCCTTCTTGGAGTAGGAAACAGTGGAGTTGAAAAAAAAATGTTGTCTTGAATTTTAAAGTAACAAATATTTTGGACGAATATTTTTTACTAAAGTAATAGACAAGCAGGATGAGCAGAAAACACTGTTAAGGAAAATCAGATCTACACAAACTTATTCAGAACAAATTAAACATATACATTATCCCCTACAAACATCAAGGTGGGAACTAATTGAGAAGTTGCAAAGCTATCTCAACTCACCTTGGAAGTAAAAACAAACAGAGAAATCCTTCTATCCATACATTGCTTCAAGCCTTCAACAGCACAATACATACAATGTCATATACAGTATAAAACAACACATCATGAGACGGCGAGAAATATCAACCTAAACAGGCAATAAAAGAATAATTACCTGAACTTGCAGCGGATTATCAAATCTTAGTCTATCACAACTCGTGGAATGTGAGCAATCTTAGGCCAGTCCTCTCCTACTTCCTTCTCGCATCTTTGCTTCAGACTTGATGAACATACATAAACCATTAGCACTTGCAATGCTGCGAGAGATCGCATACCTTCTGGAAAAGATGTCAACATAGGTGAATCAGAAATTTCCAATCGATTAAGGGCAATGAGGTCGCCTATCCATTCTGGAATTGTTGTGAAGTTATAACAGTCACAAATCTCCATTGATTTCAAAGTACCCGAGAAATGTTGGAGCCAAACTGGTAGCGACATTAGCTTGTCAAGATTGGCAACACTGAAAGTTGATAAATTTCCCGGGACATCAAATTGCATCGCTTCTTCGTTCGACAAATCGAGCAGATGGCAATTCTTTATATATAAAAACTCAAGGGAAGCGAGATGAGTTAGACATGTGGATAGAGAGACCAAATTTATGCAGTAATTAATAGACAAGGATTGGAGTGAGGTGAGACTCTTGAAGACATTCTCTGGCATAGTTGCTAGGCCCTCGATAGAAAATAGACTCAAGCTATTTAAAATCAAAAGAGGAGAAGGATGTGGAGGTGGGCAAAGAATTTGCTTCAATATCTTCTCACTTATTATGTTCAAAGAAAGGGTCTTTAGGGAAGGGAAGTAGCACTTATTTGATGGTAGCATGAATTTATCATCATCACCTTCAAGTCCATCTATGCTCTCCATGACGTCAAGATTTGATAGGTCAAGATCTTGGAGAGAAGGCAGTTGCCATAATGGTGGGAGCTTTTGGCATTTATCACAATCTATGATATTTAGATAAACAAGCTTGGGTAGCAAAAAGCCAAGATTATCAACCATCAACCAACTTGGGAACCTTGATCCACTATAATATTGTATTTTCAAGCTTTCAATGTTTTGGTGCGGCTGCAGGGCCTCCAACATTATAAGATCAGCTCCAGTATCATCCTCTTGATTTCCACGTTCAAACTTCACGAACAGCTCCCGAAGATGTTTCATTCTTTTCACTACATCGGTAGGTTTTCTTTCTCCACTTGCACGGGCACGTCCCTTGAACTTAATTTTTAATCTATTTCTGAGATCAGCAAGGCTCTTTAATTCATCCAACTTGTCACTTGCCAAACCAGATATACAACTTTCTTTGCCTACAACAAAACTCGTCAATGTCCGTAGAGATGTCAATCGGCCAATTCCAGGTGGCATATCTTCCAATGACTTGCAACTATCAAAATCCAAATGCATGAGACTTGCCAACTGCCACAGTCCTGGTGGAATATGGGTTAATGAATAGCACCGCGTACATACCAAACGTCGAAGGCTCGCCAATCTCCAAATATCTCTTGGCAACTTTTTGAGTTCAAAGCAATTAACCAACTTTAAAACTTGTAGATTATGCAACTTCGTGATGGAATTTGGTAAAGTATCAATTATTATAGAGGAAATAGCAAGATATCTTAGATGCTTCAGTCCACCTAAAGATTGAGGCAAAACTTCTATACACAGGGGACATAGATCCAGAACGCGTAAACATTCAAAACTTGAAACCATTCTCTCTAATGTTGAATTGCTTATGAAAGAATCATTTAGGAAAATAAATGTCCGCAACTTCATATGCTTGGAATTCATAAATTCCAATGAAGCATCTACTTGGAATAAACAAGAAGAATGGAGAGTTTGTTCTGGAATTACAATCTCTGTGTCTTCAGTTTTAGTGATACTGAAGAACTCCCCATCTGCAACTTCTTTCGCAAGATCATGAATAAGATCGTGCATTTTGTAAAATTGCGGAAATGATTTGTCTTCTTCAGTTTCTTGAAAGAATGACCTTCTTAACAAATCCATGAAATATGAATTTGCAATGTCCTCCACATTGTCTCTGTTGCTAGTAGTTGATTGAATGAAGCCTTGAGCAATCCACATATCAATCAAATCAACTTTATCAATTCGGAAATCCTTTGGAAAGAGGGAACAATATGCGAAGCATATCTTTAGATGGTGAGGAAGGTGATTATAGCTCAATCTCAAAATGGCCATGACACTGTCGCCTCCTCGTGTGATACTTGACAAATCTTGATTCATGAAATATTTCCATTCATCCTCCGTGCTTTTTTGGCGTAGTAGGCTTCCTACTGACCTTATTGCAAGAGGAACTCCTCCACACTTTTTCACAATTTCCTTTCCTATTTCCACCAAACTCGAATTTTCACTCTCTTTGTTACAACACTCAAATGCCATTTTTACAAACAATGCCCATGCTTCTTCTTTTGACAGGTCCCCCAATTTATGTTGGTGAATACTTCCTGAAGCTTTTGCAACTACATTTGAACGAGTAGTTACTAAAATCTTACTTCCCTTGGCTCCACCGATCAACATATTTTTCAATGTCGACCATTTTGAAGCATCTTCGTTCCACACATCATCGAGCACCAGTAGATATTTCTTCCCATCAAGCATTTTTTGAAGTTGCTTTTGCACTGCATCTAGTTGAAGGTAATTATCCTTCCCCCCTCCTGCAGATTCGACGACTTTTTCTGCAATCACTTTCGCTTCAAAAACTTCTGAAACACAAACCCACAATCTTTTCTCAAATTTTACCTGAACCATTTCACTATTATACACCAATTGCGCGAGAGTGGTCTTTCCTAGTCCACCAAGGCCAACAATCGATATAACCGCAACATTCTCATTAACCTCAGATTCCATAAGAAAATCTAGAATTTCCCTTTTATTATCATTCCTTCCAATGACTTCGCCAGGCACCAATGAACAAGTCTCTCTACCCAAATTAGGCTCAAGAAGCAAAGGTTGCCTCCTTTCAATTACATCCAGATTTAAGGAGGCCTTATCTTTTGCAATTACATCTAGATTTTCTCGAATGGCCTTGAGACGCTTACTTATCTTAACATTATAAACCACAGGATTTGACTTTGAGAAGAAGATGCTTACCTTACTCACCAATTTTCGATGTGTCACTTCAGTAGCAAAGTCATCCAAGAGATCATCAGCCTCAAAGAAAACTTTTTTAAGTTTCCTTATCCAATCCCTCACCTCGTGGCTACTCTGCTGCTGCTGCTCCGCGTCCATTAGTACAGATTGGATTAAAGAAACTGTACCAGAAAGGTTGCGAAGCTCATCGCCTAGTCCTCGAACTGATCCTACTTCTTGAGCTGCAAGAGAACCCAAGTTTTTCAAGATTTCAGCAGCAAGCCCGTAAAGAATTTCAGCCATGATGAGAAAGTAATATGATTTGAAGATCAACAACCTTTCTGTTGCAAACTAGTAGTATAAGTCTTTGTATTAGAAGCAGCCTTTACCTAACACAATTTATTAAAGGGTTGATGAAGACCTTGACTTGGACCCCAACAATCATTGAACTCTGACAATAATTAAATTTATTACTGACAATTCCATGTAAATTTCTCTTTAATAGGTGAACCTATCATGAGGTGGTTAACTCCACGTACCAATTGATATCATCAGAAACGGAGCTAGGATTTGAAGTTTATAGGTTCTGAACATATGATGGAACACTGTTGGATGTTTTAAAAGACGGGTCAGCAAAAAAAGATTAAAAGTATTGATTACAATGCCTCTCAATAATTTTATTAAGCATAAAAAGGCTTTAAATAGTCAAATTGGAACAAAAAGTCCAAATAATTTAAAATTCAAAAAACCTAAAATATCTCAACTAACTTGAAATTTAAAATTGAAATTCATCCTTAAACTAACCAACTTATTATGCTAAAAATGTTATTACAGCAGTTGAAAGCAACAAAATTTCAACAAACACATAGCTCGTTTCAAGGTGGTGGAAATTAATTGAAAAGCTGCAAAACTATCTCAACTCATCACAAAAGCAAAAATTTAAAAGAGAAATAACGATAACAGCAAAAAAAAAAAATCAAAGAAATTGAAGCTTCAGAGTAGCAATTCAACTGTTTAAGTGACTCAAATTTCCTTACAACAGAGTGGGAACTCCAATTTCCTTTCTTAATCTCATGGTTTTCGCCAATTAATTCAGTTTTTGAATTCGACCCTTTTGAGAAAATGGGTTCAGCACCTTGATTTTGACCCACCTTGTTTTGCAACATATCTCTGCACTTTACTTTATGTAGATGTTATATGTGTTTGTTTTGTTGTTGATGTTTTAGTTGGGGGAAGAAGAGTTTTGAGGAAATGACCAAAAGAGAGATCTGAATTTAGTCACAAAATTTCAAGTGATTGGAGCTAAAACTTTGTGATGGTGGGACTGGGATATATTTGGGCCATTATTTAAGATTCAGTTTCATAGTTCACTACGTCTTGTGGTAAAAATTGTACGGCCATTATTTGGTCACCCCCATTTAATTTAGGAATTTTTATATTCCTATGCCACATAACAAATCTTATTACTCGCAATATTTAAGGTTTGATTTTATTACACTTAGTATACCAAATTACCAATTTTATACCATAGTGTATTTTATGGATACAATTAATGCAGCATATATCCCTCCTTAATTCAAGCTACCGTATATCCCACCCCTCCCACGTTTCTCTCTCCCAAACCCTCACCCTCACCCACGTTTATGTACTGTTATTAAACATAAAAGGAATCATGTAACTAAAATTAGTTACATGATTTATCAATTTACTTTGTATTATTTTTATACAATGTCTATGTGTCTATATACATATATTGCGTAGAAAAAAAATGTATTTACTTACAAAATGAAAAATATATAATTGAGAGACAGTGACGAATAACACCCCGTACAAAGCAGTACCTCTACCTGGTTCTATGCAAGCATTATTCCAGAGTTAATGCGCAGAAAGCAATATCTCGTATATTCATTTTATCGTTAAAGGCACTATCACCTGGAAGTGAAAAATATATCTTGGCAACACCGTTTCCTATTGCTCGTAATTTTAATTATTAGAATATATTTTCTATTTTGTATTCAAGATACTTATAAATTCAAAAAATTGCTTCTAATTGTGCTCGTTTACGTAACGTAAAACTGAACTTCAGGGTTGTGATGCATCCATACTCATAAAGTCAACAAAGTCTAAGCAATCGGAAAGAAGCGCCAAGTAATTAGTGTAGAAGTTTTAGTCGTTTTTGATTTGTGAAAACAGAAAACAAAGCATCTACAATCAAAATACAAATAATCTACAATTTATCTACAAAATATCTACAAACTGGGTACATTACTTTTGTATATCCCAATTCCCATTCAATTATAGTTTAATTGGGATTTTCGACATAATTGCGTTTTTTGCAGAAGATTTGTAGAAGTTTTAGTCGTTTTTGATTTGTGAAAACAGAAAACAAAGCATCTACAATTAGAATACAAATAATCTACAATTTATCTACAAAATATCTACAAACTGGGTACATTGAATTTTTATATCCCAATTCCCATTCAATTGTAGCATAATTGGGATTTTTGACATAATTGCGCTTTTTCAGAAGATTTGTAGAAGTTTTAGCCGTTTTTTATTTGTGAAAACAGAAAATAAAGCATCTACAATCAGAATACAAATAATCTATAATTATCTACAATTTCTGCAATATGTCTTCTTCTTCTTCTTCTTCGACGAGTTTCAATCTGAAATTCAGTCAAAACCAAGTCTAATCTTCACCAAAACCCCTCAAAATTGAGATATAAACTCCAAACCATATTCCCGATTATTTTTAACAACACCTAATCCAAACAAATAATGATTTTTGAAAACCCAAATTTGAATTCAAAGCTTTCAAGCTTTTTAATGGCTGTCAATGGTGGAATTGCTGCTCTCTTTTCATTTGCTTTGTATTACTGAATTTGCGATTGAGAAATAGAGAGAGATGTAGAGAGAATGTCGACGAACAGAGCTTTTGCAGAACTGATTTCTACAATTTGAAATTGAGCTTCTGATTTCGACGAACTGAGCTTTTGATTTGTGTCTTAAGCGAAAATATCGAAGAACGGATCTGAGCTTTTGAACAGATTTGGTTTCGACGAATTGAGCTTTTGAACAGATTTGATTTGTGGCTAAATCAATTAGAAGATTCTGTTCCTGAATTTTAGCACGCCTAATAAGGAAGATTCAACTACTAATAATTAGTATTTAATGAATGGTATAATTATTGTAGGAAAAATATGGACAGGGCGGGTAAATTAGAAACTGTGCACATTTTTGATAATAAAGTTTTATATATGGTATAGGAAGGAAAAAATCTCTTTAATTTATACTTACTTTTCAAATTTTTTGTAACTACAGTCACACCTTTGTATAAGAGAATTTTAGCTTACAGGATCATTCACTATAAAAGCCAAGTTTCTTCAGGACCGATTTTTTAGTTATATTTTAGCTCTCTATGATAACTTTTTACTTATAACAACAACAATCATATTTATATCAAAACGCTCTTTGTAATATTACGCCTCTATAATAGCCATATAGAATTTTTAATAGTAATAATAATAATTCTAGAAATATGCACACAATCTTTTCCATTAAATAAAGTTTCTATCTTGCATAAGATGTAATATTTGAAGATATGCACATGATGTCTTTTCCATTGGACAAAATTCAAAAAATATTTAGATAGAAAATTCAACTGTTAAGCTCTTAGATTGTATATTGAATACCTTTTTGCTAAAAAATTTGACACGAATCTTCGCCAATTCAAGCGTAATATCGCTAGTAAGAGAATAAAATCTACGAAACAAGCTACAATTACAAAGTTTTTCCATCAATCTTGAATTACTTTGTTTTGGGTAGCTTTAAAATATTTGCCTAAGAGTTTAAATCTTTATAATTTTAGTTATGAATTTATTAATAATACATTAGTTTTCTTCAATATTTAACTAGTGAATATGTATATCTTTTGAGATTTTAAATTTGAATAATTTCCTTATCTTTTATATGTAACATTTAAAAAGAAAAAATAATTGTTTTTTGGATACTATTTATCTATAATAGCCAAAAAATATTTAAATGTCAAATGCTGTTATAGGTAGGGGTGGACATTGGTCGGTTTGGTCGGTTATTATAAAAGTACGGTTCGGTATATCGGTTTTGTAATATTAATAACCAAATCAAACCAAAGTATTTACAGTTCGGTGCGGTTTTTTCAAAGTTCGGTTCGGTTATTTCCGGTTTATATTTTTGATTTCAAACGGTTGTAGGAATAACGAAGTATTTACTGTGATTGAGAACATTGGCGCCTGAGCTTTGCATTAAGGACATCATCCGTGCTTATTCTTTGAGCGACTTCGAGCTTCAGTTGTTGAATGTTAATGGAAGTATGGGCTTTCAATAGATAGTGATGCGGTGAAACCATACATATTCTATGCAAGTGTTATTATTAAATCAGTGTTTATGGTTGCCCTGGTGATTTTTCTTTCTTTCACTTAATGTGAATCTGGACAGAGAAGTAAGCTCAGCAGACAATAACACATACAAAGGTAACTACACTACAAATGAAACCAATAATATACTATAGAGAACAAGCACACAGAGAACGTGCAAACAGAACACCTAAACAGTTCAGTAGTGGCAAACAGTTTTACCAAAGCCTAGGAGAGTAACATCGTCCCAAACCATCTTTCTTCTCTTGGGACAATACAATATGTATTCCAACCAAAGTATGTGGTATTAATCACAAAATCACAGAAAGTCAAAAAGCACATGTATACACCAACAACTGCTAATAGCAAGTAGAAGTTGATACAAAATAGGTAACAGAATACATAACAAAATTTATCTATCCAATAGTAAAAACTTGCAATAGGTCACAACTTATACTGGAAGGCAACAACTTTAATCGTAAGTGAAGTAACAATGGAACCCAAAATCTAATTTTTGACGGGAACAAGGGAAGTAACAACTAAGTGACAGTAAGTTACTAAGTTAGAGTAATTAGGTTTGGGTAAATTGGGTGGGGTGGGCTTCAAAGGTATTGGACTATTGGGCATTTGCATTTGGGCTTCAGCCTAACTGCCTAAGATCAATAGATCATATCATCATAAGATGGGTAATACAAAAATTTCGGTTTTTCGGTTTAACCGAAAATCAAAATACAAAAATCGTAAAACCGCACCGAAAAATCGAAAATTAAAAATTTTAAAATCGTGCACCTACCGAAAAATCGATTAAAGCGAAACCGAAAAACCGAAATTCACGGTTCGGCCGATTTTTTCAGTTCGGTCAAGTATTATGCCCACCCCTAGTTATAGGTGTATAATAGCCATTCACTATAAAAGCAAAAAAAATATTGGAACGAACGAGGCCGTCATAGAGAGGGTTGACTGTAGTACCCAAAGTTTAAATAAATTCAGGCATTTTTCTCCTCGTTCTTATTCTTCGGGTGACAGTTATTTTATATGGTGTTTGTGAACATATTTTAAGGTAGTTTATGATGTTTTACAGTGGTGAGTTGCTGTAGTTTTTTATTTTTTACTTTTGTTTAAAGTTTCTTCTTATTCTTTTTCTTAATTGCAAAATGGGTTTGTTAGATTTATTGTTGTTTTGACCAATTGATGATTGAGTTTTGTTCTTGATGATATTTGGAGATTATATTTCAAATTTGAGCTTATTTGGAATAGATTTACGTGTTAAATCGTATATTGGGTTGTTAAAATTCGATGAATAAATTTTTATTTTCGGGCAATTTGCACTTAAGGCTTATTTGGCCTTAAGTGCATGAAAACATTGGTTGCATTTCAAGCCTATTTGGCCTTAAGTGCATCTGAAGTGCAGTTTTTTCACTTCAGATTTATTGGCATTAAGCGCATGAAACCATTTGTTGCACTTAAGACCTATTTGGTCTTAAGTGCAACTGAAGTGTAATTTTTTCACTTCAGACTTATTTGCCTTAAGTGCATGAAATCATTGGTTGCACTTCATGCCTGTTGGCCTTAAGTGCATCTCAAGTGCAATTTTTTCACTTCAGACATCTCTGACCTTAAGTGCATGAATATATTTATTGCACTTCAAACATATTTGACCTTAAGTGCATCTTAAGTGCAAGTTTTACACTTTAGACTTAATTGGCCTTAAGTGCATTGCACATGACACTAATTTTTTTTAACTTCAGATCCGATAAGTCTGAAGTTGATCGTAAAGTGGGTAGTCTTGTAAAATTTTTTGTAAAGTGGGTATAGCTTCAATTGTGACCCCAAAATCGAGTATAGATACAAAAGACCCTTTCCAGTGAGATCGGTAAAAAATAAAGTAGGAAATCAGTAATGTAAAATACAAA